ACAATAGTTTTCTTTTTCAGACGTGCATAGGGAATTGATGTAAAAATAGAGCTTTTTAAAATTTTTTTCGTAAATAATTTCATTAGTTCATGGTAAACATTGCTAAAATAGGAAAATTTAATTATTTGGACGATTTTAAACATAAATTAGGATATTTCTTGATTTTAGTATGATCTGTTTTTAATTTTTCAAATAATAACCAATTGATTCTTGTTTCTTAGTTGAAAAAAGTGAATTTTTTTGTGAAAAATTTAAAAATTAGGACTAAGTCAGATAGTTAAAAAAAAATTTTAAATGTGGTATATCATTCAAATTATTGACGAAAATTCATTTCTATCGATGTTTACACGACGTATAATATCCTTTAACTTCTACATTTCTCAATTAAGGACATCGGTTCTATCATACCTTAAAAGGACTTTTGAAGGCAAATAATTAAAAAAAAAAAAAAAAAATTGTTCTACTAACTATAGGAGGAAAGATGCTTCTTTTCCAAAAATTCCTAAACTGTTCATTATCGACTACTTTGACTGAAATTCGAGCATGATTAAGATAAATGCCTACATGTTAGAGAAAATTTTTTTTTGTTTCTGGTATAAAAACGTTAAGTTAAGAAAAACAGTTGGTAAAGTTACGTTTGGGAGTGCGGTACGCCCTAGATGCCTAGTAACTATGAAGGTATGCTAGAGCGAATTACATTACTTTAACAACTCATAAGTTATTCAATATTATATGTTATGTAAAAGGATGTAACTCCAAGAAAATTGTTAAAAAAATATTTTTTAAATATCTTCACGAGATAAAAAATGAGTTTATTCAAATTCTTCGACTTGTTTTCAATGTTGCGGTTTTTATTTATAAAAAAATTACACGTTGTTACATATTCTAATTCACAAGTCCTATCTTAAAAAAATGATGGGTCACATGATAAAGCCTGTTCATTCGTTGTGTGATTGGCTGAGACTGATCAAGCGCGAAAAGTCATTTGTATATAAAAAAATAAATGTAATTAAATTTCGGGGATTAGCGCGCAGAGCGCACAGGGGGCACAGCCCCCTAGTTATGAAGAAATATTTGATTGTTCAAGTATTGAATAGTTGGATTTCCACAATGTGCCTTGATCTATAGTCAGCTTGCAGGGTGCCCACACTAACAGTGTTTTTTGATTTTTTAAATTAAATCAAAGATTGTAAAGTACTTGATAGTAATAGCTTTACCATATACAGGTAGATACTCATGAACTATAAATGATATAGAGTAGAAAAGTGTTGATTGACAAAGTACAATGTAATTTACATTACTATTATTTTGTTAATTTTTATGCATACTGCCTTTAATTTTACATAAACAGGGATATTTTTTACAGTTAATTGAAAAAAAAGGAAAAAGTTAAGATGTTAATGAGTGACATAAAGTGAAGTATAAATTATTTCGACACCTTTATTATTGACACTGTCGAACAGTTACTAAATTGAGGTAATAAAAAATTGTTTAATAAACGCTATTTAAATTGGCATTGTGACTGTTTCTACAGAGTAAAATTTAAGAGTTCTTATATGTTTATATACAAGTGTAATGTTTAATAATAAAATCTTAAAAATTAAACATTTTAATTATATATAATGTTACAAAAAATTGATACAACTCTATAATAACGGGGGTATATTGGGTCTAAAATTATTCTACAACATAAAAATGAACGTTCATTCTTGTTATGTGACAGCTTAGTCTTTCTCGCTCAATAACTTTTCATTGGAGTGAATATTGTTATTATACACCGTTAAGTTATTTAATTCTTATAAATGATCATTTTGCACGCAATACATCACTATGGGCGACCATTAAAATAAATTCATCTTTTATTTTACATATGCTCATATAACACTAGACGTAGAGAAGTTTTGCGTTTCATTGGGACTGGAAAAAGATGAAGTTGAGTCAACAGCAGCTATATCGGCAACTGCTATGGCCGCCAACTCTTTTTCTGCCTTTTTAATGATATCATAGTCACTTAACAAACTCAAAGTGCTTTTAGACTCTCTTTGTTGGGAAGAATGTACCTCTGAATTAAGTATGTTCTTGTTTAATGTCTTATTGTATGCTGATGAATGATTTTCTTCGTTTCTGCATTCTATAGAGCTGAGTGTTGTTAAGAACGTTGCACCCGGCTTCAAAGGAATATATGAATCTAGTTTTGAACTCTCTTGTCTTTTGACATTTGCCAGAATTTCTTGAAGATTTGGCGGAATAGTAATATTTGAAACTTTGTCTAAAATTGGCTGGGTCAAATTCGATATACTTTGAGGTGGCGGTGTAAAAGATCTTGAGGCTGTAGGACTGTACGTTTCTAGTGCATCACTACATTTGAGAGGGTGAAGATCCAGACCCTGGAATAATAAGAATCAAAATAATTATCACATAGTTCCAAATTGTTTCTACACTTTTTGGAATAATAAGTATAAATGAGTAGTAGTAACTTTATTTGTTAGTAATATATTGTTACAGCTTAGTATGTAGTAAAATCAATTGTTCTTTACTGTATCATATATTGTACCACTTATGTATGTTATTTAAAACGTTTAAATCGGAATGAAATATTATGGGATTTGTTTTACTTGAAGTGCACATAGGTATGTCTATGGGTTACATTCAGTGATGCTACAAAAACTTGCCTAATAAAAATCTTTTGTGAGGCAAATGATACACGAATTATTTCAATTAATAGATACATTTCTATTAAAAGGGAGATCTTTAATACATTAAAGCCACATACTTAATGTGTGGACACAAGTCAGTAGAGACATGTGCAATGATTAACCGTGTATTTCTTAGCTATTAGTAGCGTAAGAAAGTATAAATCGATAAACAAATAATAGGATAAGCAGGTTCAATTGAAATTTGTTTGTTTTATTTTGTGCACTAGAAAAGCACTAAAGTGAGGAAAGTGACTAAAACATTTATGTCGCTTATTTAGCTGACTTATGCGTGTAACTAAGTGACTTTCTAACGTAGTGAAGATTCGTATTGAACAAATATGGGAGAAAAAATAGTAAAGACATGTCAGAAATAAAACCAATAAGATAACGATGACAAATCTGGACGATTCATAAATTGAGAACGTGAATTAGTTATCGGTGTGGAAAAACTGTCCGAAAGCTAGTAAATCTATCACAAAAAAAATATTGAAATGATAAGGGTGTGTGATATTTTAGGTAAGAATTGATGAGCTGAAGGAGTATTTAAAGAAAGAGAAAACAGTGTTTAATAAGAGTATGCGAAAATTTGAGAGCAGTAGAGTCAGAATTCACACAAATAAGGCATAAAAAGATCGCATTAAATAAAACGAGGGTTAATTTTGGAGAACTAAAAGAAACAATAAAAAAAAGCGTAAAAAAAGTTTGATATGAGAATGATTATCCTGTTATAAGGAAAAATAGGAAACTAATTACAAGGGATTAACACAAACCAATAAGATTTAAATTCTACATCAAAAATGAATTGAGCTACAAAGATAGAAAAATAAAAAAAATATTATATAGATGGGCTAGGAGTACAAACAAGGGAACATGCACAAATAAAGAACGGCGTTGACAGTTTTTTGTTAGTCAGAGGGCAGCATGAACTAACGTTTCAGAAAAAGTGGAGATAGGATTGGACATAATAGCAAAGGTAGAAGTAGCAAGATCGCGACAGTGCAAATATTTAACAAGCTTATAAGAGCGATGTAGGATAGAGAAGAAAGTTTAAGCAAAAAAAAATGTTTTTAGTAGGGCCTAATAAAAAAATATGTAACGATAACTCGCAGAAAATTTTGATAAGATCTAAGCTAACAGATAAACGGTTTATTTGTAGGTGACAATAGTTTTCTTTTTCAGACGTGCATAGGGAATTGATGTAAAAATAGAGCTTTTTAAAATTTTTTTCGTAAATAATTTCATTAGTTCATGGTAAACATTGCTAAAATAGGAAAATTTAATTATTTGGACGATTTTAAACATAAATTAGGATATTTCTTTAATCAAAAAGCTATTGAAAAACTTCGAGAAAATAAGAAAAGCAGAAAAAAAAGTTTTTAATCGTAATGACCAAATATTAGTTAAAATGTAAATGACATTGATTTAGTGCTTAAAAAAATATTGCATAATGTATGTTTAATAGAAACGGAGAAATTTCAAATGTATAGTCAGTGTAAACGTTTGGTACTTTGAGATGATTATACAACAAGTGTAAACAGTTGCAGAGGGCTAAGAAGTCATAATTGTGAGCGGGGTAATTTAACTTTAGAACAAGTAGTTTAGCTAACTTGGAAGAAATTAAAATGTTCGAAACAAAAATAAGAAAAAGTAAAGATGCTGTACTCAGTCAGACGATAATAATTCAGGTTTACAAAAGCTAGAGAGAGTAGGGTTATGGAAACTGTGATAGTTAATAATTAATTATAAGATTACATTAACAACTTTGAGACTATAAAAAGAGTGTACTCGGACCACGTGCACCCATGATTTTCAACTATGGATAATAACATAAGACAAGATAAGAAAAATAGTAAAAAGTAAGAATCAATGAAAAAAGATTTAATTTTATATGATCAGACAAAGGATCATTGCATTTAAGCAAAGGGAAGAATGATTTAGAGAATATAAGCTACTAAAAGAGAACTCTGTTAAAAAGATCTTTCTAATAAATTCATTATGCAATAAGAAATCCAAGTTAAGTAAGAAATAAGGTAAGTCCTGAAAGGTGACAAAAAATCTGAATATAATCTACTTTGTGTGGAGGTTAAAAAATGAAAATAAAGAAAAGTGTTTAAAAAACGAGGGAATAAAAAAAATATTATAAGACAAAAGAATGACAAGTTTTTAGATGGGTTTGATGAAGAAAAAGGATAAAAAAGTAACCTATCTTAGCAGGAGTTTCCTGACAGTATCATTTTTTTTAAGGAAAATTCTTACAATGAAGCTAAAATTCTGAGGATTGGAAAATAGTTGTCATTATCACGTTAATAATAACAGGTGATACCAACAAGACAAAGGCTAAAAGAGGTATTTTGCTTTTGCCTAAGGTTTATAAAGAATATATGGAAGTGCTTAGGAAGTAGCCAGCTAAAAAAGTAGAGATTGAGAGAAACTCTCCTGCTATTCCATTTAACTGCAGGGAGAATAGGTTTACTATAGACTAAATTTATGCTCTAAATAATATTGTTTAGAAAACAAGGGAAAGTAAGGTTAGATATTTGTAGGAGAAAAGTTGTAGAACGTTTTAGAGATTGAAGGTATAAGCGAATATTTGATGTACAGAAAGAAATGACTTTATGTAGAACTTACTGAAACGGTAAAAATTAAAAAGATAATATTAGAAGCATTGCGTAGTATCAAAATATTAATAGTTCTGATGATAGGGATCATTTCATTGGCAACGTAAAATAAGTTGATAACAACTATGTACTTCTATGTATTTTTGCGGCTAAAAAAAATTTTTTGTTAAGAAGTCACAAGAAAAGGTACATTTTGTTTAAAACAAAATTGTTTGAACAACTACGAAATTCCACCTAAAAATTTTTTTTCGTAACATAAAAAAAGGTGTATATATGTGATGTACAAGAAATAAAAGCATTAGCCATCATTAATTATGTGAATTTAAAAAATTCTGTATCTTGAAAAAAGCAAGTAAAAAAAAAACTTTTTTTTCCATGCCGTACTTGAAAAATTAATATGGATGTTTACAAAATCTTCGAAAAATTTTTGTCATAACAAAACCTCTCAAAATTAGGAAAACAGTCGTATCTCGACAGGGAAGCCAGATAGGCCAAAAATAATTTGACGTCCAGAAAATAATTATTGTTTCAGCTGTTTATTATTTAAACCCGATGGCTCTTGATATCTTAATTACATTGCTGGTCTGTCATCCATACGCAAAAGAGCAAAGCCAATAAAATGTCACTGGGTCGCTCCCTGCCGCTGCTTGCTGGCTATGTGAGCTGATCGACTGCTCCCTCTCCTTCTTTTAAGTTCGGAAGCCAAACAGTGCGGACGTAATAACGTGCCCCCAATGTAACGTAGGTTTGTTTTTACTTTAGATTAGTGGCAGGAAAAGTTGGTGTTAATAAAGTTTAATTTTCACATTTAACTACCAGTGACTAGGTTTTCTCACGCCTACCTTTGCTCTGCTGTTTCGTCTGCCTGAACCCAACGTGATCAACCCTAGCTTGCACTACTTTATCACTGACGGCATAAAGTACGAAAGAAAAGCAGAATTATTGAGGTGCAAAAATATATGCTACACGGATTCATACAACCAAACGTGATAATTCTAAAAAAAATAAGTCATATAATAAAGGCAAAGCTACATCTTACATATCCTAGCTATAAATTGATTCATTTTCTACTCTTTATTATACATCGTAAGAATAATTGTCACGTGGCCAAAACCTATATTCTTATAAATAATTTGAGATTACTAGAAATTCATTATAAGCACGGGTAAATTTTAACATTAAATTATAAATAATCTTAGGAAACGGACTGAATCCCAATAATCAACTTTACAATGAAAAATAGTTATACGTCTATTGTTTTCTTTCATCTAAATCGAATAAAGTAAATTATTTTACTTTTATAGTAGCCAAAATTTAAAAAAATTTGTCAGATAAAAAAATTCCAACAAGAATTGATTGTACATGTATAATGTCTTTTAAACTGCACGAATAGTAGTCATAAATAAAAGAGATTTTTGTCCTACATAACTGGACAAAACTACCTATTTGAGGCACAATATGGGAATTTTTGTTCTGTTCTGCATTACAAGACCAAAAATTCGTACACATATTAAAACACTAGCGGCCCCCCGTCTCGGCTTCGCCCGAGACTTACTAAATGAAACACCGTAGTGTGTTGATATGTAATGTGAAATGTTTTCAGTTAGAAATTTTACATATATTCCTAACACTTCTCAGAACAGAAATCTTCTTATTAAAAACATATTTGTTCGGAATCCATACAAATTATTTGGCCAAATAATAAGCTCTATAGATTAAAAAAAATATAATTATGCTAAAAAGGACCGTGCATTTCTTATGCCACGAAATAATCGTTGGCCATAAGGAACTGCTGATTTGCAATTTCTTTCGTATAATTTACGAAAAAGGCTATTTTTTTAAGCTGTTGAGATTTTAAGTTCCCAAAAAATAAATATTGAAAAAAAAATTTTTTTCTCTCATCTCACAACTTTATTACCAGAGCACCAAAGTCCTGGAGCACAAACTCTACATATTTTATTGTCACAAAAACACAAACACAATTTCTACTTATTTAAAAATCTGAATTTAGATCTTTAAAGATTTGAGAGATGACTATGAGGGGACAATTCAAAGCTGATCTTTCACGTAATG